CTTCTAAAAAAAAAAAAAAAAAAAAAAAATTCAAGAAATTTTGTGATAACACAAAGATAAACATACGATCTGGGAAAAGATGATTGGTTGCAGCGTTTTGATTGACTGAATAAAGTGAACTTTTTGCTGGTTACTGGGGATATAGACTATCATCAATCAAAGTTAATAATACGTAAATTAGAAGAATTTGCTATTTCAGTAAGTGTAACAAACGGTGCAGATTTTATGTCCATCAAGAACTGTTAAAAACCAGTGATATTTCATTCTGTCTGAATGCCAATTTATTTCATAAGTGAATTGCCACAAATTGCGCAATTCTGTGCTCAGGTATGCAATATTACAGCAAACAAAACAATCCTAAATATACAGCTACATAAATAGAGATAAAATGTGAAGACCTAAGCTGAGGAAGATATTTAAATCTCTGCAACTTTCCATTAAAATACTAACTAGTAGTTAATAATCATGATTGAAACATATCTTAATAACTTGCTGAAGATACACAATAGCTCATCATATTACATTCACATGAAAAAAGCACACTCCTTTTCAAGAAAAGTGCTAAAACATTTCAGTGCTAAAACACACTACATGTACCATATACATAAAGCTGCAAGTCGGCACTGAAGAAAAGTCAAAAGTCGATCCTTTTTGGTGCAATTACTCTGTGTAATCCACCTAATAAAGTTAAGTTAACCATAGACATCAAATAAATCTCCACTGTTCCCTGATCTTAAAAAAAGATCCATCACTGGACATAGCCCAAAATATACTTCCAAAAACAGGGGTTTCTCTGCTGCCTATGATGAATGTAGCCTAATAAGATGCCCACAGTGAAGAGGAGAACTGAGAAGAGCCGACTGATCTTCTTTGTGAACACAACTTAAAGAAAGACTCTTAAAACTACCTTGGTGTTTCCCCTTCATGTTTCAAATATTTTTAAATCTATGCAGAGAGTTATTAAAATCTATAACGAGAGATATACCCATGCAACACTGCATGAAAAAACACAGCTTTTATAAAAATTAAGTTTAGAAGGGAAGCTGAAATGAAAATGTACAGTATCAAACAAGGAAATGTATAGGTAAATTAATGAACAAAACTCATGGCAGATGATAAAAAGTAGAGCGAAATATGTATCCAGATTTAGGTCATATGACACAACAAACTAGGGGTAAACATACGTGGGTTTCTATTTTACCAGTTACCTTCAACGTGTCATATAATCACTTAATGAAAAAATCTTAGTTGGCTCAGATAATCAAATCCTGACCTGGTTTGTGATTAATAAAACAT